TATTTATACAAGTATTCTAAAGGTTAATCAATTATCAAATATTTTTTTATTATATAATCTAAAAAAAACTATAAAATTATTAATTATAATTTATATTAATATTTAATATTCAAATTTTTTTTATATATAAGTTTTTATTTTAAGTATTTTTGTTTTTAATGTTTTATAAAAAAATTTTGTTTTTTTGTTTAAGAAATGAGAATAAAAGAATCAATGATAATAATACAATTGAAAAAAAAAAAAAAAAATCAAAATATTTATAAAGAAATTCTTTTTAAAATCATCAAAAGAAAAGAAAAAATTTTTTTTTTTTTGATTTTTTTTTTTTTTTTTTTTTGATGATGCAATGTTAAAAGATACAATCAAAACTGTTATCATACATACATACAAATAAAAACTATATATAAAAAAAAACTGTGTACATCTTTTGTTTCAAACCAACCATATTTACAACAATTTATACCATTTTTTTGGTTTCGTTTTTCATAAAATAAACCCAAAATAAACACGTGATTTTTTGGATAGAGAAAAAATATATATAAATAAAAAAGTAACCATGATATTTATGGGTCTTATTGTCGATTTCTCTCTAAAGAACCACCCCCAGCTGTGACTTCATTAGCTACTTTCTTTGCCAATGCCATGCGGAAATCTTCTATTCCATCCATATTTCCTATTAATATAGAATTGCTATTACCTACACTATTTCGAGTTCCAGGCGCACTCGCACTAGATCCCATGCTACTCGATGAAGAAGCACTTGCACTACGTTGCATTAATGCGGCAGGTTTTGGTAGCAATGGAGGAGGAGTCGCTGAACGTGGCTCCTCTAATGATCTACGCGTTGAAATTCCAGGTGCATAAGTAAAAGGCTTTGCACCAGGAGAATTAGCCGAAGTAGTACGTCCATGAGCTTTCATAAAAGTAGCTGTGGGACTTTTTGGTACCAGTTCAATACTAGATGAACTTCGAGAATGGGATGCTGCACGCATCATAGCAGTGGGACTTTTAGGAGTTTCAGTGGCTTCGTAACTGCCAAACATTACTCTCATAGTTCTCCAACTAGTTCTTTTATTACTAGATATTGGAGTTGGCATTATAATTGTTGGTTCTGCATGAATTCTGGAAAGTTCAACCTTACAAATTGTTTCTGCATTGTCTTTCTCCTTTTCACACTCACTAAATTTATTTTTCTCTTCCTTTTCTTTTTCATCACGTGCTTTATCCATACTACTACGTGATCCAAAGAAAAAATTTCCAACCTTTTCTGTAATGTTCCTTTTTTCCTTTTCTTTTTCTTTAACATTGCAAACTTCTTTATCTGATATGGGCCCAGCCCTATCCAATTTAGATGTGATTGATGCCGTGGGTGCTGCATCAACTCCTTCTTCCAAACTATGAGGACGCGAATCTCCGCTACCACTTGTTGAACTAGCTCTCCCTATTCCACTACTAGTACTAGCATTCTCCCCAGTACTCGTACCGCTTCCGCCAACAGTGCTTCCCGTACTACCACGATATGCACTGCTAGCATTTGATATTATACTGTTTGGAGTCCCACTCCACGAAGCTGTTCCGGATGCTCGACAGCCATTTTTGTACTTATGTGGCTCACGCATTAGGCTCAATTCATCCACACTTTTTTCTGGAATCCATACCCTTGTTAATAGATAATGTGTTATTAACTGTTGCTTTTCTTCAATAGATTCTTCTTCTTCTTCACTCCTATGATTATATTTATAACCACTGCTACGATGAAGAGCTGCACTAATGCTTGCAGTGCGAAAATGTTTGGTCGATGCTTTTATGTATGTTACAGGTGGAATAGGTTGATATTTAGGTCCATGTTGATATCTCATCATAGTTTGTAATAATTCTTGTACACGAGGATCTTCCTGTAAAGATTGCATTGCTCCAGGAGAAGTTAAAGTTATCATTGATGTTGTAGAACGAGGAGTTGTTGGTACATGATTGATATTATTATTAGACGATGATACTGAATTTGATGAACCTGCAGATTTAACAGCAGCCAATAAATAGGTAGCATCCATAATAAATGTTCCTAAAAATGGTATAGTAGGCTTCCTTAAGAAACCTTCTCGTTGTATGGTCTCTCGATACTTTCCATAATTTCTCGTTTCACTCATCATATCACACAATGCTTCTAACCTTACCATACTCTTTTTCGGAATACAAGCCCATGTTCTTTTTAATCTTTTTATTGGTGGTGTTCCCAATGCAGCAAGGATTGCCTTTAAGGTTTGGAAATTGTGTAATTCGTGTAACTTAACGGCTACTTTAACCCAGTGGTTTATAATTTGTGCACGTGAGGAAGCCTCTAAGGGTAATAAAATAGAACGTTCTACAACCCTTGTGAGATAGTTAAAAAAGTCCGTTGAGGCAGTGATTTTTGAGTCAGGACTCTTTGCGGAATGTGTAAGAAGGGTCGTTGGATCTATTTCCAAAAAGATTGCAGATTCAATTAAAGTTAATTGATACGCAATCATATGAGGAGCGAATTCTAAAATATCCGGATCTGCGGCAGCTTTATAAACTAATTTACGAGATCTTGTTATTGTTTGTTTTAGACCAGCAACTGTAGTTCCATACTTCTCAATCGCCTCATTAATTTCCTCATCTGGAAGTTCTGTCCGTGATAACTCGTCGGAGTCAGACTCTGAATTACCAGCTTCTCTCTTTTTAGATATGGCACGATATTCTGCCAATTTTGTTTCTAATGTTTGAATTTTTTGTTCCAATTGAGTATGTTGAGTTATCAAAGGTGACGCTGGAATTTCAGGCACATGATAAGAATATTGTGATGAAGAAGGTGAACTTGGTGATTGAGCATTTTCGCTTTCAGTCGATACGATGGCAGGTACCAAATTATTTGGATCAACAGCACCTTCAGGAATAACACTGATCATTTTTGGACGTTGTTCAAATAAATTTGGCATTGACACTGGAACAGCTATTGCTCCATAAAATGAGGCAGGGGTTGTAGGGGATGTTAAATGTGAAGAATAGGGACTCTCCTCATCCGTTGGAGAATCTGTTATAGAACCTGTTATCGAACCTGTTATCGAACCTGTTATCGAACCTGTTAGGGTAGGCCGCCTTCTAGATGTTGTCACAACACGGCCAGGAGATGAAGAGCGTCGACGAAGTGATGTTTGTAGAATTGCAACATCTAAAGATGACTCTGATCTACGAAGATACGAACCTATAAAAAAAGTGTTAAAAATACATAATAAATCATAATTAAACATGTGATTAAGCCGTACCGTTTCTTTCAACATAATCATCATCATCATCATCGTCCGAATCAGAACTATCCGCATCGTCATCCTCACCTTCGCCGGAAACAACATGCGCATCCCTACCACTGCCGGAAACCTCTATATCTACTAAATATTTTTTCATGCTAGCAGTTCGTACGGGTTTTGGCGGTAATGGAGGCTTTAAGGCCGGTGGTTCATTTTTGGGGTAATTTGACGACGATCCATCTTCGCCTACTTTATTAAAAGATCTGCGCATTGGTTTCGGCGGTATTGGAGGAGCTCTGTGTGGTGATAAATTGTGTGGATGTTCCTCTTGTTGTGGTGTCGGTGGAAATATCGCTATATTGAGATTTGGATTTCTTCGTGGTATGGGTGGAGTTTGATGTTTGACTATGATATCTTCAGCATATGATAGGCATGTTCGAGATAAAGCAAAAATTGAAGATAGAGACGCCGGTTTTGATGCTACAACTATAAGATTGCACGATCCAATTTATAAAATATAGAAAAGATAGTTTAGTTACCATTGGCCTCTTTAAAAAAAAATTTCTTTTTCTGTTTTTTTTTCATTGGAGAAATTTCTCTCTAAGATTTTAAACAAACAAATCCTTTAACCGGTTTTGGACGACCGTTCAAGAATTAATAAAATTTAAATTCTTACCATTATTTACAAATTTGATGCTATGTAGCTCCCTTGTTACTACATCCAGTGCACTTATATATGAAAAGTAGGCATCCTGAATACATTGCGCAAAAGATAATCAAATCAGACACAAAAATTAAGATCAAAGAATGTTAAATAATAGATGTAGGTATAAATATCAATTTTATTTTTATTTTATTATATATATATATTTTTTTTTGTTTATGTAAAAAAAACAAATCACCTTTACATTTCCAGAAGATAAATAATCAGTGGCATCTTTCAAAAGTTCTTGTATATTATCCATAACTCTCTAACTTTCTTACAACTTATTTTAAATAATTTGCAACTATTCACAATTTGGTCGGAACCGCCACCTAAGCCCGTAATGCTTTCTTTTAAATTTTTGTCGTTATAATATTGTAATGTTGCTTTTTGTTGAAAGTAAACACTTTTTTAGTTTTATAAGTACGGGACAAGAAAATAAAATAAGAAACGATAAACTTAAATGGTACATGTAAAGCTTGATGATCTTGTTAAATCAAACAAATGTCATTATCGTTACAGCAAAAAAAAAAAAGTTTGGGTAAAAATATTTTCAATGATATCTTTGTCCTAATGTTTGTTAATTTGAATTTATTTTTTTTTTTATATACCGGGTGAAACTTAATAGATTACACCCAAAAGAAAAATTATTTACAAGATGGAGTAAGAAAATATAAATTGGCTGGTTGAAGAACAACAAATAGTTCGGGAATATGAATATAATGAAACAAATAAAACAAGCGATGGTCTTGTAGTGCAATGGTGGTCTCGATGTCCTTACGTCATACAAGGATGATAAGCTTCGGAGGATACTCGATTTATTAAAATCGAGAAGAGTCGACTCAAACACCTCACTTAAAAAAAGATCACCAAATTCGGGCTACAAATATGTACAAGCGTTAATTAAAATTACAAAATTTGCTTCGTTACTTTATTTGGTACATATCATGTGATTTCCATAAAAGGATTGATTTTAAAAACAAAACATTTTCAATTCATTTTTTTTTTTTTTTTTTCCTAATTCCTTTATCATGGGAGTTAAAGGTTTATGGAAACTAATTTCGCCTGTAGGCCGAAATGTTAAACTTGAGTCTTTGAATAATAAAAGACTCGCGATCGATATCCTTTACTTAGAAATTTCGTGTGAACAATTTACAAGAATGTATTTTTATTTTTATCCTTAATAAAATAATTACATGCTAGCATCTGGTTATATCAATTCTTAACTGCAATGCGTGATAAAGAAGGGAATGGACTAAAAAATGCACATTTATTGGGCTTTTTTAGAAGGATATGTAAACTTTTATTTTATAATATCAAACCAGTATTTGTGTTTGATGGTGGTGCTCCAGAATTGAAACGTTTGACTTTGGTTTGTTTCAGTTCTACTTTATTATTTTCTTGTTTATAATAAACTTTCAACTAAAAGTAATATGGCCCATTTATTATGTGATGTAGAATGAACGTCGTAAGAGACGAACCGGTAATGCCAATAATCTACAAAAGACTGCGGAAAAACTTTTGTCAGCTCAGTTGAGACTTCATGCTGTTCAGGAATCAAAGTAAGATAATGTTAATTGAAAAGAAAATATATGTCAATTAATTTTTTAAAGAGATCTTATTTAATTATCGATATAATTTTTCAAAAAATAGAGGATCGTGTAAAAAAGTGATAACTGACGATTTTAATGAAAACAAAATGAGTAACACGAGTCCGGAAAGACTCTTTAGTCGAAGAAAGCGAGATGAATATGATTTACCTTCCATATCAGGAGGAATCGAGTAAATATGATCAAAATTCGACAATAAATAAATATATATAAATATTGCTAATTTATATTACTTTATAGAGCCATGGTCACTAAAGATGATCCTCGTCTTGCAACTGAAGATGATCTCAAAAATTTTATTAGAGAATATAATAAGGCTTGTAAAAACAAAATAATGATATTTTGGCGGAAATAAGTCATTATCAATTGAATTTGAAATTATTTTTTTATTAAATAATAGCCTGAGGAAATAGATATTGACTCTGAAGCATTTAGATCCCTTCCTTTAGAAACACGATATGAAATCTTAGAAGAGCTTCGAAACAAAAGTCGACGAACATCTTGGAATCGATTTCATGAGATTTTCGGCAATGCTCAAATATCCTTTTAATTTAATTTTATACTCGATACTATTATTTATTATTTTATTTTTTCTTAATTATTTTATCATGTATACACCGCCATGGATTTTTCACAACTTCAAATAAAATATCTAGTGAAAAGAAATAATCTAACACAAAAATTAATTGATGTTACAAGTAATGATACAGACCCAAATAACACAACACCAAAACGCATAGTATCAGAACGTAATAAAAAATATGTATTGATAAAAAACAAGGAAGGAAGTACGGGGTGGACAATGAGTTCTGTGGATGAAAATAAACACGAGAACAATGATAAGCAAGGTCATACGGTTGAAAGGCCGGTTTATATGGAAAGTTCAGAGATTGATGATAAAAATTCATTGGTCAATGGAGAGAATAATGAATTTGAAGAACTTGAATTGCCTAAGTAAGATATAGAATGAAAGCATCTTCATTATTTACTTTGAACCTTTAATAATAAAACGGTTTGTTTGTTCGGAAGGTCAGCTCTATCTTTTGACAATTGTGAATATCAAGAATATAAAGGTAATAATTTAAGTTAAAAGGTAATTTTATCGGTCGTAATTTTTTAACCTTTTAATTATTATTACAGAACGCACGCCAATAACAAGCGATGATTGGAATAGCTTACTTTTGGATAAAAATGCTTATGTTGAAGAAAATGAAAGCATTGAATCGGTTATCAAAAAATTCAAAAGACTGGAGTCTGAATCATTTGAAATGTCACCAAATAAACTCAATGATGATGTTTCATCATTATCAATAAACTACGATGATATTGATACGTTTATGTCAATGGAACCAGATGAATTCTTTGCTTTTTGGCTTTCGCAGATGTCACCAGATTTTCAGAAGGAATATAACTATCATGATGAAATGCTTCATAAAGCTATTTATGTTTGGGATGAAGATGAATTAGAACAGCAAAAGAAATCTGTCACAAAAAAATTAGGAAAATTAAGAGAGTCTGATGAGCAAAAGGCGAATGCTTTAAATTTCTGGCAAAATTTCTTGAAGGTTACAGCTGAATTTCGCAGGATAAATTCTGACATTAATCAAAATAAGGATGAACTTAATGATAAACAAGATCTTGAAATTGAAATGTCAGATAGTCCTATGGATTTAAAAGAACAAAAATATAAAGAGATATGTATGAGAGAAACAAATCACATAATACAAAAGGTTGTGCATACAATAAAAAAAATTAATATCAATTTTGAATCATTACTCTTGCCGGTTAATCATGTATCTTCTTATCACACTTCAACTCTCGATGTGCCTTTTGAAGATAGAGAAACCGTTGCAGGTAAAATTTGATTTTAATACACTGAAACATTTCTTATTTGATGTTACAATATTTTATACATTTTCATCATAAAAGAAATTAGTGATTTCGAAGAAGTTGAATTACCAACAAACCCTGTTGATTCTGGTTATCAATCTACAAAAATTAATCCGCAATTGATGGCAACTTCAAATATTAGTGTAGAATTTTCCGATACAGAATATGATAGTCAAACGAATGTGTTGATAGATACTTTAGAAGTTGAGGACATAAACAATATATCCAAAGATAAATATATCAAAATTTCTTCTGACGAGGATGAAGAATGTAGTTATGCAGAAAAATTCGAACCGGCAAGTAACAGTTCTGATGATGAGATTCCAAAACAACTCACAGAAGAAGAATCAGAATTTGCTAGGTTTTTATCAGAGTTGAAGAAAAAGGATTTGAATTCAATACAACAAGAATTGAATACTGAAGTTCAGCAACTAAACGAGCAACGAAAACGAGAAAAACGAGATGCTGATAGCGTGACACAAACAATGATAAGTGAATGCCAAGTACGTTTAATTGAATTTCATCTAATGTTTCATTTCAATGATATTATTTAATATTATTGCCTTAATTCTCTCGATATTACGATAGAAACTCTTGCAATTATTTGGTATTCCATATATCATAGCACCAATGGAAGCTGAAGCACAATGTGCCGAATTGCTTCGTCTCGAACTTGTGGATGGAATCGTTACTGATGATAGTGATGTCTTTTTGTTTGGAGGAACGCGGGTATACAAGAACATGTTCAATCAACAAAAATATGTTGAACTTTACCTTTTACAAGATTTAGAACAACACATGGGAATAAATCGTGAAAAGTTGATTCATTTAGCTATACTCTTAGGAAGCGATTATACAGAAGGTCTACCTGGTATCGGAGTTGTTAGCGCCATAGAAATATTAAATGAATTTCCTGGTGAAAAAGGTTTAGAGCATTTTAGAGATTGGTGGCTGGACGTTCAAAATGGAACGAGTGGACCAGAAAATAATGAGAGTGATTTCAAAAAGAAATTTGTTAGTATATATTGTATGTTAATGATACATTATTTATGTGTATAAATATGTGTCAATATATAATAATATCATTAATTCATATAACAGCGTAAGAAGATGAAAGCTTTATTATTATCAAAGAACTTCCCAAATCACCGTATATGGGACGCTTATTATAGACCACTAGTTGATGATTCAAAAGTTCAATTTCAATGGACCATTCCAAATTTAGATGACCTTCGAGAGTATGTATTACCTTTTTTTTTTTTTTCAAAAAATGTTTTATTATTATTAAAATGATAACTATTAAATTAGATTCATAACTTTTTAAGCTTTTTGATGGAAAATTTTTCATGGACACATGAGAAAGTCGATGAAACACTTGTACCACTTATGAAAACTTTTGTTAAGAAGAAGGTAAATGAACTACGCGTTACATTGTTAATAAGTTAATATATTCTTAATTATTAAATAATTATTTATTGTAAATAGTCAGAGGAAAGTAACCAAATAACTCTGGATGGTTTTTTTGCTTATCCGTTAAGCAGTAGTAAGTCACATCAAAGTACGAGAATACAGCGCATTGTGGATTCTTGGAGAAGTGGTGAAACTTATGATAATGAAAGTCGAAGTAATGATGGTAATGAATCGTCTCAAAGACGGAAGAAGCGATCTCAAAAAAAATCAATCGATGTTATTACCATTGACTCATCAAGTAATTCAGAGCAAGAGACCATTCATAAAAAAAGGAAAAGGCAAAAAACCAAGAAAAGGTCTTCAAAATAATAAACCTTAGTTTTGTACTGAAAAATCGCGCGTGACAAATTTTAATAAACCACAGCCTCGTTACTTACAAAGCCTAATTACTAAGCTACAAAACTTTTTGATCAAACTTCCAAAGCCCCGATCTATCCGAAAGGCTATGTATGGCATAGAAATTGCTAAAGCGGCCCTTGTGGCCATGCAATATTCCAAGAATTGGAATATTCCCGTAATTTTTTTTTAATGTGTGACAGATTGCTCCAAAAGTCCATTTACTTATAATTTAATAATTTTATTAATAAGGTTAATTAATAAATGTGGCGAGTAAACTATCTATAGATGTGGCCATCAAATATTTTTTTGTTAAAATAAAATTTTAAGTGCGATTGATATTGTTTTCAAGCCAGAACATTCTTTTCTTAAAATGTGGCAAATATTTAAGGATACAATACATCATCCAAACTTATTATTTATATAATAACATGTCACATATATTCTGAAACGGAAAAACCCCCCCCCCAAAAAAAAATTTGCAATCCCACAGCCTCCCGGGATGATAATTTCGTGTATATATATATATATATATATAAATATCAAAATATTTCTTAAAAGTCCGTCACTTTTTTATCCTTTGAAACGAAAAATTAAATAAATTAAATAATAAATAAATAAATAAACACGATTTCATTTATAAAATCCAAACAAAATAAGTTTTATTGACCAAATAATAAGTTTCGCGTCCTTTTTGAATTTTATATAATGTCTCAAGGTGGGTATCCTCCTCCAGACCGACGACAGTATAGCGGTTACCCTCCAAGTTCAGAGCCAACACAGCAAGTTTACCCTCAATTCCCGGGCCAAGAACAACAACCACAGCAAGGTTATCCACCGACATTACCAACCGCGTCTTTTTTAAACACTGACCCATCTGCACAACCTTTGCTACCTTCAACTTCTAGTGGTGGTGGTTCGGTTTCGTTTGCACCAGACCCAGAACAACTTTCAAAACATTATGGTCAAGCTCCTGTTCGTCAACCACGTCGTTACAAAACGACCAAACGCGTTGAACTTTTCCAAGGAAATTTAGTTTTAGATTGTCCTGTGCCCACAAAGCTTTTACAAATTGTTCCTAGAAAGGATGATAGAGAATTCACTCATATGAGGTATACTGGTTGTACTTCCGACCCTGACAACTTTAAGAAGGATCGATATACGCTTCGTCAACAACTTTATGATCCTCCTAGACCAACCGAGCTGTTCATTGTGCTAACTATGTATAACGTAAGTATTGCATTAATGTAATAATACACGTTTGAGATGACGTTAAATCATCCGGACTTAAGATTAACTTTTATATATATCTTAACATTATAGGAAGATGAAATTCTTTTTGCTCGTACTTTTCATGGTGTTGTAAAAAACATAGGTCATCTTTGCTCTCGTGATCGATCCCGTGTTTGGGGTAAAGATGGGTGGAAAAAAGTTGTAGTATGTATAGTATCTGATGGACGAAAAAAGATTAATCAACGTACTTTGTCTTATTTGGCTGCTATTGGTGTCTATCAAGATGGTGTAGCCAAAAACAAAGTTAACGAAAGAGATGTTACTGCTCACATTTTTGAATACACCACCCAAATTTCAATTGATCCTGATATGAAATTCGTGGGTGCTGATAAGGGTATTGTCCCTGTTCAAGTTCTCTTTTGTCTAAAGGAAAAAAACGCGAAAAAGATTAATTCCCATCGCTGGTTCTTTAACTCTTTTGGTCACATACTTAATCCAAATGTTTGTGTCCTCCTTGATGTTGGTACCAGACCTGGTGGCACCTCTATTTATCATTTGTGGAAGGCTTTCGATATCAATTCAAATGTCGCAGGTGCTTGTGGTGAAATTGTTGCTATGAAGGGTAAAGGTGGTGTGAATTTGTTAAATCCCATGGTAGCAGCTCAAAATTTTGAATACAAAATGTCAAATATCTTGGATAAACCCCTTGAATCTGTCTTTGGATATATCACTGTGCTACCAGGTGCCTTCTCAGCTTATCGTTTCATTGCTCTACAGAATGATCAAAACGGAAATGGTCCATTAGCTTCTTATTTTATGGGTGAGGCTCAACATGGTGGTGATGCTGATATTTTCACCGCCAATATGTATCTCGCCGAGGATCGTATTCTTTGTTTTGAGTTAGTAGCGAAGCGTAATTGTTCTTGGGTTTTGCATTATGTGAAATCTGCTTATGCTGAAACCGATGTACCAGATACTGTTCCTGAATTGATTTCACAAAGACGACGTTGGTTGAATGGATCCTTCTTCGCCGGTGTTTATGCTATTTGTCATACTTTTGCCATTTGGAGAAGTGACCATTCCGCCATTCGTAAAGTCTTATTACACGTTGAAATGTTTTACCAAGCTTACAATTTATTATTTTCTTGGTTCGCTTTGGTAATCTTATATTCAAATACATATCTCGTTCCGTGATATATCTTATTTATTATTTTAAATAATATTAATCTTTTTTTTTTTTTTTTAAAAAAAAAAAAAAATTTAGGGTAATTTCTATTTAACTTTTTATATTTTGGGTAATTCTCTCTCAAAACAAGATGTTGTTGAAGGTCTTTGGAGTGTGACAGCCGGGGAAATTATATTCCAAATATTACGATATATTTTTTTGACACTGCTAATTATTCAGTTTATTCTTGCTATGGGTAATCGACCTCAAGGGTATATATATATATATATATATTTTTTTAATAAATGTTCCACTATATCAAGATAACACCAATCAATTAATTCATACTTTAAACATTTCTAGGTCAAAATGGGCATATATATTTTCAATAGCATTCTTTGCGGGTCTTATGATTTATATGTTGTTTGCGGCTTTTTGGCTTACTTATAAAGGAGTTTCGATTCAGATGGGAATTCTTGAAAATGAGAATCAAATTACCGGAAATAATGTTAACACAGCTAGTGCTATAATTAACGATTCAACTTTCCGGAACATTATTCTTTCCGTTATTTCAACTTACGGGTTATATTTTACAGCCAGTTTTTTATTCTTTGAACCTTGGCATATGTTTTCAAGTTTTATACAATATTTGTTATTGGTTCCATTCTATGTTAATATTTTGAACGTTTACGCATTTTGTAATGTACACGATGTCAGGTAGCTATCTCCTTTTTTATTTTTTATTTTTTAAAAAAAGCATATGTTAATTTATTATTATTATATAGCTGGGGAACTAAAGGTGACACGTCAGTAAAACAAGATTTGGGTACGGTAAATACCACAGGGGGGAAAGGTGAAGTTGAAATTGAGGTTCCAGTTGAACAAAAAGATATTAACTTCGCATATGAGGAAGCATGTGGCGAATTATCGCGTCGCCCGGAAGAAGTAGTTCAGCATCGTTCACAATCCGAAAAACAAGATGATTATTACAAGGCTTTCCGTACACAAGTCGTTTTATTCTGGATTCTTTCCAATGCCGCGTTAGTTGCTGGTATAACGAATGCTAGTAATTCAATAAATACAATCTTTGCAGAACAATACGAACGTAGCAATATTTATATGGCATTTGTACTTTGGTCTGTTACTGGGTTAGCTGCTTTTAGATTTATGGGTAGTTGTACATATTTATTGTTTAGATTGTTTACTGGTTAGTTAGATTTGCTTCATAAAAAGTATTATTTATTTAGAATAATATTTATTAATTAGATAGTATTTATGTAAAACAGATAATTAATGTTTAACAATTATAATTTAATTATAATAAAAAAAGCTATGGTGTATAAATCAATTTATCACGTTAGGTAGTTTTTATAAACATGATCTGCATTAGCCGAACGATATCTACGCCCACTGTAAAGGAAAAACAGAAAAGAACGTCCAGTTGAAAAAAAAAATAAAAAATCTTGTTCGAAGCAAGTAATTATAATATCGAGTCTTGCCCAATGAATTCATTTTCTCCCCTGATTGACGAAAGATAAAAAACAAAATTTAGGTTACCCTACCTTGTTTTTTACTAGTATTAGCGACAAAATATTTTTCTGGAAACTTTGTTTTCAGAGGTGGGATTTTATCTCTCGTAAATTTTCCAAATTGAAACTTTTGTGGAATTTAGAATTGCTAACAAATTACCAAATTCTTCAAAAGTCAAAATAAACTTTTTAAGTTGTGCTATTTCTTTGTTTAGGATTCAATAATTTCGTGTTTTGTTTGTTTATAAATTTATTTGTTTCTCCATTTTACTTAAAAAGTGATTTTTACATAAAAGATTTAAAAATTATATCAACGTGCCCGTATATATAATAAATAAATCATGCATCAGTGAAGCATCCTGTCAAAGTATAATTATGAAAGATACCGCGTTCCTCAACAATAATTCCCCAAAGAATTTTACATTGGGAATGTTGAAGAGCAACAAAATATTCTGGTCACAAAAAATATCAAGAATCTGATTAAATCCTAAGTTTTCTTTTAAAATTTAAAAATTTATATATCTATATACAGTATATGTGAATAAGTCTTAATTAATTGGGGTGATAATGGATAAAAATTCACTTTTACGGATTTTTTTGATGAAATATTTAATTGCTTGTGGACATTCTTCTCGCTAAAAGGTTCTAAATCTTTAATTTGAGTAATTTGGTGATTTATTAATATATAAGTAACACAATAACTTAAAAATAATCACCTCACTTTTTTGATATACTAAACAAAAATAAAATTTTAGAAAGAAATAGGAAGAAAGATTTAGTGTTATAAAGATGGGAAAATACATTGATTCTAATAAAAAACTTATTGATTATTTTAGAAATTATAAAGTCTCGTAATTAGCAAATAGTGAATAAATAAATGATGCTAAGACTCATATTAAATGGCTTAGGATTTGTGTATTCCCTCCTTCTATTGCTACCTATCATTTTTTGATTCTATATATATCTTAAAAATTAGGCCGGGCAAAAAAGATTCTCGTGACATAAAATTTATAAATTTGACAGTCACCTGATTTTTTTTTTATATATTAAATTTTTTTTTATGTATTTTATTTATATTTTGTATTATATTTAAAGATTGTTAAATCAATCTGTAGATTTTCTTTTTTCTTAAAAAAATTGCCAATAAACATTACAGTCAACTCTTGTTATAGCGAACTCTTGATATAACGAATTTTTTGAACAAATATAATAAAAATACTCTTGTTATAGCGAATTGGCCAATCAAATCTCTTAAAATCTTCACTATAGCCTTATAGCGAAGTTGAGGTCTAGGACATAGAGTTCGTTATAACAAGAGTTTACTGTATACATATTATATTTAATTCTAGAAGAATTTTTTAAGATGTAGTTTAAATAAAATATGATAAGAATACCAAGTATTAAATAATGAAAAAATCGCAAAAATAATGTTAAAATTTAATATATATAAATAAAGTATACGCTATTATAATTTCATTATATAAAGTCATGTAATAAAATATTTTACTATAAAAAATTCATAAATTTTGGAAAAATGAGATAGGTATATTATAAGAATCTAAAAATATTTTTTTGCTTAGTCTTAATTGTATTTGTTTTATTAGCTTTTAATATATAAAATAACAATCAAAATTTTTTTTGATAAATGTAATTAGTAATATAAATTATAATATACATATAATAAAATTTAACTTTACAAGTATATTATTTAAATCTTAAATTTTAAAAATATTTGAAGTTTTTTCAAAATTCTTTATTGTTAAATTAATTCAAAATTTTCTTTTCTTTTTCTACCATTTTTATATTTTTCTTATTTTTTTCTTCCTTTGTTTCTATATTTCATTTCTATCTTTCTTTTTTCTTTAATTTACTTTTTAGTATTTTAAATTTAAACTCATTATACTATTATATCTTATTTTTAATTTAAACTTATTGTACCATTATACTATAATAATTTTTTAGATTATATAATCATTAATTATATAAATATCTATTTTATTTAAAACTTTCTTTTTAAATTAAACTATTTAATTATTTCTTATTCTTTTGGTTTTTTTCTTTTATATCATATGTTTTATTATGTCTTAAGTAATATTTTTTAAGATTTTTTATTATTATTTTATTATCTAATAAATAGTATTATAATAATATTTATTTTGTTAAAAAAAGACTTTATAATTGACTAAAATGAGTTAATTTATATTAGTTATAATATTAATCTATAATTATGATAATTTTTTAGAAATAATACTAAAATATTATTTTATTAAAAAATATTGAAATATTTAGAGGTATTAAAAACTATTATTCTAATATTGAAAATATTTTTAATTATTAGAAAGTTCATTTACGTTCATAATATCTTTATTATTATTAATTAATGTAAAAATTTTTTATTTTTCCTTTTTTTAGTATTTGTTAGAATTTCTTTCAAAGATAAATTAATTTTTATGATATTTTCTGAAGCTAAACTATTTGAAAAACTATTTAAAGAGACTGTTAATTTAATTGTTTATGTAATTTTTATAATATAAAATAATTGTGATTAATATTTTTATTATTATTTTTTTTGATAATGGTGATTAAGTAAAAAAGTTAATTAAAAAGCTTAAAAATACTTTATTAAAATTAATAAAAAATAAATAAATAAAATAAAAATAATTATTTTTAGATAATCAGATGTAATATAAGTAAATCATATAATGAATTAATTTATAAGAATATATAAATAAGTTAAAACACTAAAACAAAATTAAAATAAATAAGTAGAAAAGTATTTTTTAAACTTTTTTTTATAAAATTCAAAATGAATTTTACTTTCAACATTTTTAATTTTTCTTTATTAATTATAATTAAATACTTATTTAAAAAAAAAAAATAAAATTTTGTATAATATAATACAAATGTAATTTTAATTATATAAATTATTATTTTATATAACTTTAAAAATATAATAAATAAAAAAAAAAAATTTATTTAAAAATTAATTATAATAATTTTTTTTTATAAAATTTAATACTTTGTAATATATATTTATTTTAAAGATTAATCTAATTGTAATAATATATTATATATAACAACTATTAGTAAAACTAATAAAATCATTTTAATTTATTTATAATATAAATAAAAATATCAAATATTATCAGCTGCTATAAGATTGTTACATATTGTTATAATTAAATTAATTCTTATTTTAATATTTAAAAATTATATAAATAAACAATTAAATTTATAATAAAAAATAATAATTAATATAGTTAAAAAAATATTAATTACTTAATAAATATTAAATTAATTATGATAAAGTTTATATTGTCACTATAAAATTTTTTAACTCAAATTAATTATATTTTTAACTTTTTATTAAGTTTGTTAACTGTAATTAAGATATTAATATTTGCCTAATTCTTAATTTTAACAAATTTACATATTAATTTATTAAATATGAAGACTTAAAAATAAGATTATAAATAAATTTAATTAAAGAATTTAGATAACAAACTTAATTATAAAAATTACATTTGATTATATAAATACTTTATAATAAAAAAAGCAGAAATTACTAAAAAAATTTTTTTTATTTTATAAGCTAAATATTATTTTTTTTAGTAAAATAAGTTTAGATTTAACATTAATTCAAAAAAATTCTTTGATAATTTTCACCCTTTCTATTATAAAAAAGCCTATATGAAAACATTAAAAAGTAGAAAAATATAAGTTTTAATTAATTTTTTTTATATATTAAAACTTATATTTGTAAAAGAGTTAATTTACAATATAAGCAAAAAGTTTATCTATTTATATAAAAATATTTTTTACAGCTAACTAATTAGTATACTATAAACTAACTAATTTAATAATAAAATATAAGTAAATAAAAAAAAATAGTAATATGTACAAAATAAAAAAATTAATAAAAGTAAAATATTCAAAAATAAATATTAAATATTTAAACTTATTTAATTCATAAAATTAGGATTATTATTAATATTTGAAGATTAGCGGGATTATATAGATTTCTGTATTTTTAAAATTCACAAAATTCATAATATTTTTTAAAATTTAATATTAAGAAATTATTATACTGCATAATTTATGTAACTTCAATTTTATTGTTTATTTGTTTTGCTGATAATATATAAGTAGTTTTAAATTTATTAAATATATTTATATAATACATAATAAGCTGTTTATTTTGATTAAAATAATTAAATTAATTTATAAAATCAAACAAATTATGATATATTTAATAAAGTTACAAAAATATATATTACTTCATAAATATTAAACCAATTTTAATAAAAATTTAAAATATAAATAATATTGAATCTGTTAAATAATTTTTACTAAAAATAGAAGATGCTTTACTTTGATTAAAATGCTCAAATTTTATCATAAAATCCTAAATAAAAAAAAGATACTAAATATATATAAAAATCAAAATATATAAAAATAAAAAAAAAGTTATTTCATTTACATTTAAAAGTTTTTATAAACTGATTTTAAGTATTTAAATAAAAATATTTTATAGATTATATTAAATAAAATAAAAGTTTTTTTTTGTTAAAAAAAAAAATAAAAATATAATAGTTTAAAAAAAGATGATAAATTAATTATTAATGATATTAATTGCAAAATTATAACCGATAATTTAATTATATATTTAATAATTCTATATAT